AAAAAATGTGTTTACAGAATTTTCCCCAAAAGAAATTTTTTTCAGAAACTCCTAACGAGTCAGAAAAATGTAGGCTCAGCCGAATCGGATAATTAGAAAAAAAGTTATAGCAATTTAAAGATGGGTATACGTTAAGTGCATTTTTGCATTTCAAAAATGGCCTGATCAAGGACCCATTTCTGGGCAATTTTGACAGTTATGACGTCATTTTTCGAAATTTTTCCGAAATTTTTTTTTTTTTACCTAAATGATATTTTTTAAAATCCTTTGAACTGGAGCATCTCTGGGACTCACCAGAAGTGATTTTAGAATAAAAAAAAAGTTTTGAAAAATTTTTTTCAAAGTTGATAAAAATTAAGAAAAAAATTTTTTTTCACGTTGCCGAAAAAAATTTGGCTTTCTAAACAAATCAGAAGTATGTAGGAAAAAAATGAGCCGAATGTGGTAATTAGGGACAAAGTAAGAGCAAAAATTCCAAAAAATTTATTAAAAAGAAAAAATATGTGTGCAAATTTAGCAAGAAAAAAAATGCAAAAAATTTTTTCTTCATGACGCCCTTATAGTTCTAAGTTTATATACTCTTCTGGAGTGTAAATCCAAAAAATTGGGCAGAATTGGATAATTAGGGAGAAAGTTAGAGCAATTTAAATTTTGACTATTGAAAAAAACACCGATTTTTAAAAAGGTTTTTTGCAAAAAAAAGGAATAAAAATTTGTTTTACAGAATTCGCACAAAGAGGGTTCATTGCAGAAAGTCCTCACGAGCCTGGCGAACCAAGTCTGAGTCAAAACGGATAATTAGGGACAAAGTTAGAGCATTTTAAAGTTGGCGAAAACCCCTCAAAAACCACAAATTTTTCAGACTATTTTTGTCACGTTTTACAAAAAAAAGTCGAAAAAAATATTTTTTTTTTATTCGCACAAAGAGGGTTCTTTGCAGAAAGTCCTAACGAGTCAGAAAAACGTAGGCTGAGTCAAAACAGATGATTAGAAAAAAAGTTATAGCAATTTAAAAATGGCGAAGTGTCAAAAAAACGCTCCAAAACAACCGAAAATTTAAGGGTTGAAAAAACGCCAATTTTTGGCATGTTTTACAAAAAAACTCCTTAAAAAATGTGTTTACAGAATTTTCCCCAAAAGAAATTTTTTTCAGAAACTCCTAACGAGTCAGAAAAATGTAGGCTCAGCCGAATCGGATAATTAGAAAAAAAGTTATAGCAATTTAAAGATGGGTATACGTTAAGTGCATTTTTGCATTTCAAAAATGGCCTGATCAAGGACCCATTTCTGGGCAATTTTGACAGTTATGACGTCATTTTTCGAAATTTTTCCGAAATTTTTTTTTTTTTACCTAAATGATATTTTTTAAAATCCTTTGAACTGGAGCATCTCTGGGACTCACCAGAAGTGATTTTAGAATAAAAAAAAAGTTTTGAAAAATTTTTTTCAAAGTTGATAAAAATTAAGAAAAAAATTTTTTTTCACGTTGCCGAAAAAAATTTGGCTTTCTAAACAAATCAGAAGTATGTAGGAAAAAAATGAGCCGAATGTGGTAATTAGGGACAAAGTAAGAGCAAAAATTCCAAAAAATTTATTAAAAAGAAAAAATATGTGTGCAAATTTAGCAAGAAAAAAAATGCAAAAAATTTTTTCTTCATGACGCCCTTATAGTTCTAAGTTTATATACTCTTCTGGAGTGTAAATCCAAAAAATTGGGCAGAATTGGATAATTAGGGAGAAAGTTAGAGCAATTTAAATTTTGACTATTGAAAAAACACCGATTTTTAAAAAGGTTTTTTGCAAAAAAAAGGAATAAAAATTTGTTTTACAGAATTCGCACAAAGAGGGTTCATTGCAGAAAGTCCTCACGAGCCTGGCGAACCAAGTCTGAGTCAAAACGGATAATTAGGGACAAAGTTAGAGCATTTTAAAGTTGGCGAAAACCCCTCAAAAACCACAAATTTTTCAGACTATTTTTGTCACGTTTTACAAAAAAAAGTCGAAAAAAATATTTTTTTTTTATTCGCACAAAGAGGGTTCTTTGCAGAAAGTCCTAACGAGTCAGAAAAACGTAGGCTGAGTCAAAACAGATGATTAGAAAAAAAGTTATAGCAATTTAAAAATGGCGAAGTGTCAAAAAAACGCTCCAAAACAACCGAAAATTTAAGGGTTGAAAAAACGCCAATTTTTGGCATGTTTTACAAAAAAACTCCTTAAAAAATGTGTTTACAGAATTTTCCCCAAAAGAAATTTTTTTCAGAAACTCCTAACGAGTCAGAAAAATGTAGGCTCAGCCGAATCGGATAATTAGAAAAAAAGTTATAGCAATTTAAAGATGGGTATACGTTAAGTGCATTTTTGCATTTCAAAAATGGCCTGATCAAGGACCCATTTCTGGGCAATTTTGACAGTTATGACGTCATTTTTCGAAATTTTTCCGAAATTTTTTTTTTTTTTACCTAAATGATATTTTTTAAAATCCTTTGAACTGGAGCATCTCTGGGACTCACCAGAAGTGATTTTAGAATAAAAAAAAAGTTTTGAAAAATTTTTTTCAAAGTTGATAAAAATTAAGAAAAAAATTTTTTTTCACGTTGCCGAAAAAAATTTGGCTTTCTAAACAAATCAGAAGTATGTAGGAAAAAAATGAGCCGAATGTGGTAATTAGGGACAAAGTAAGAGCAAAAATTCCAAAAAATTTATTAAAAAGAAAAAATATGTGTGCAAATTTAGCAAGAAAAAAAATGCAAAAAATTTTTTCTTCATGACTCCCTTATAGTTCTAAGTTTATATACTCTTCTGGAGTGTAAATCCAAAAAATTGGGCAGAATTGGATAATTAGGGAGAAAGTTAGAGCAATTTACTCGTTTAACGGGCGAATTTTAAGTAACAGAGAACTTCCAGTGAGAAAGTTGTACATTATGGTCCAAAAAAGTTTTTTGGGAAATCATAGGGTTAATAATTAATTAGTGTTGATATGGTGAATGTTTAAAGTTGCTAGGAGCCGAACGTGTTCCACGCGCCACTGGTCATAACCTATGAAACAACACTCCCGAGTGCCTATGGCGAGTGACGCGTGCTGTACGTTTGGTCGCTAGCATCTTTAAACATTCACCATTTCAAAACTAATTAATTATTAACCCTATGATTTTCCAGAAAACTTTTTTGGACCATAATGAACAACTTTCCCACTGGAAATTCTCTGTTACTCAAAATTCGCTCATTAAACGATAGACGTGAAGATTGTAATTCGTGATTTTTACATTAATAAAGAAAAAAATTAATAACAATTTTATTTATAAGGTAAAAGTCCCAATTATGGGACGCTGTTTAAGCTAAACTAAATTTCTTGGAATCAGGAGTGTTAATATGAATAATTAGGGTATAGATTGAAAGATTGATATGTTATGATTAATATTTAGACCCTAAAATGGTTATTTTTCATGAAATAAAAATAATATTAATTAAATTATGAAACTCTGCACTGCACTAATTATGGGACGATGATTTCTGTATGTACGGGTGTCCCATAATGAATGTTGCTATTATGAGACATTTATTTAATTCAATAAGTAATTAGAATTCTATTGACTTATCTTAATAATTTGAATATTAATTATAAAGAATAAAATACAATATACAAATTCTGGTTTAATAAATAATTATAAAACTAATTTTTCTGGTAGAAAATTAATGCGAAAAAACTGAAAATATTTGAGGTTATGTTTGCTGTATATAAACATTTCTTATTAATTTAAATGCTATACACAAATAATTATTTTTTTTGTAGGATAATGAAAAGGCCTAGATACGGTTATTTTATATGATGTTTATTTTATAATCCCGACTAGTTTCGAACCATATGGTTCCTCATCAGGGGATGAACAATTTTACAGAAAATTATCAATTATAAAACTATTATATAATTATAAAATTATAAACAAATATTTGGTTTACCAATGGGTTCTCCAATATCCTCAAGTGCAGCTAATATTGTCATGGAGGGTATTGAGGATAAAATTTTAAACAAAATCAAATATAAAATTATTTTTTATTTTCGATATATTGATGATATATTAATTTATGCACCTTCAAATAAGGTGGACGATATATTATGTAGATTCAATTCTATCGATAAACATTTAAAATTTACTTTAGAGTTATCTAACAATAATAAAATTAACTTTCTAGATCTTTCCCTTTCAATTGACAGTAATAATTTTATTGAAACAAATTGGTTTCGTAAATCTATATGGACGGGCAGATATATGAATTTCTATTCACACCACCCTCTAAGTTATAAAATAGGTATTATATACACTTTAGTTGATAGGGCTATTAAATTGTCAGATCAACAATTTCATCTTGAAAATCTTAACATTGTTAAAAAAACATTGCTACTTAATGGATACCCAATAGATCTGTTAAATAGAAAGATTTCACAGAGGTATAATGCTCTTACCAATAACTTACATAGAAAAATAAATAACAACAATTTTCCAATTGAAAAAATGATAAGTATACCTTATATTCAAAATTTTGATGAAATACTTTTTAATATATTTAAACAACATAAATTTAAATTAGTTTTCACTAACTCTAATAATTTAAAAAATTGTATTTTTCCAAAATTTAAAGATCAAACAGAGAAATTTCAGAGAGTTGGATGTGTATATAAAATTCAATGCAAAGATTGTGATAGTTGTTATATCGGAGAAACCTTAAGACATCTTAAAACTAGAATAAAAGAACATAAACGATATGTCACTCACAACCAAAATATTAATGCTTTAACTAATCATACTTTTGATAATAAACATTCTTTTGATTTTGACAATACAAATATTTTACAAATTGAAATAAATAACTGGAAAAGAAAAAATTTGGAAATGTTCTATATAAAAAATAATACTAATAGTATTAATTATAGAACAGATAAAATATAAAATAAAAAAAAAAAAAAAAAAAAAAAAAAAAAAAAAATAAAAAGTTTAATAACATAGAAATCTACTTTACCTATCATACCTGGACCCTAATACACAACCCAACCTCTCTGTCATAACTCTCTGTTCATAGAAGTGTTTCTACAAAATTTATAAAATTAATTAAATTGTTTTATATAAAATGTTTTTTTTTTAAATTTTTTTTACAATAAAAAAATTTTTTTTCCTTTTCTATACTTGTAATGTTCTTCTAAAGGGTAAGAAACTTTTTCATTTTTTTTTTCTCACAAATTAAAACATAACCTCATAAAATCTTTTTAAATTAAAATTAAAACAATTTTAATTATTTTTTTCAGATATTTTAATCCTTTTTGAAATCTTTTTATGATGTGTCCAATATTTGGATAATTTTCTGTAAAATTGTTCATCCCCTGATGAGGAACCATATGGTTCGAAACTAGTCGGGATTATAAAATAAACATCATATAAAATAACCGTATCTAGGCCTTTTCATTATCCTACAAAATATATAATACGGTCAAACAAACAAAAACTACTACAAATAATTATTCTTTTAACGTGTAAAATTTTTTGAAATAAGTAGAAATTTCTTATGGCCAATTTTAATTGCATTTATTTTATTTTTTGTAATACTGTCTCATAATAGGGACAAAATTATAACTTGTCCCATAATTGGGACCTTTACCTTAAAGAAAAGAACTTTTTTCTTTTTTATCATTCGTAAAATACCTTAAGACCCATTTTCTTTTTTGTTTCATTGAAAAATTTTTAAAATTGGCTGAAATATCGCGAGTTGAAGTGAAAAATGTCATTAAATTTACAGTTTAAGAAGAAACAGTTTTTCCAAAATATTTCGAAAACGTTAATAGATACAAAAAAATTGCATAAGAAAAAAATATGCGCAATGAAATTTCCTATAAGGATGTGTATTTAAAATAGTTAAATTCAGAAGTTGAATTTTGAGTGTCCAGGGGACTTAGATTTCGGCCGAGAAAAAACTACGTGACCTTCTATGATCTATATTCACTACCCTAATATGAACTAAGAATGATGTTCGCTAGCTTGACACTCAACATTTTTATAATGTTTATTTGTGGCACTTATATGTGTAATTTAATTAGGGGTGGGTTTTGGGGTGTGAGCGCCGGTTCTAACCTGGTGGGATTAGTTGCTTATAATTTTAGAAAATTTTTAGCGTTTTTAGTTTTCCAATATTCGCACAAGTTCACTTTATTTGTGGCACTTATATGTGTAATTTAATTAGGGGTGGGTTTTGGGGTGTGAGCGCCGGTTCTAACCTGGTGGGATTAGTTGCTTATAATTTTAGAAAATTTTTAGCGTTTTTAGTTTTCCAATATTCGCACAAGTTCACTTTATTTGTGGCACTTATATGTGTAATTTAATTAGGGGTGGGTTTTGGGGGTGTGAGCGCCGGTTCTAACCTGGTGGGATTAGTTGCTTATAATTTTAGAAAATTTTTAGCGTTTTTAGTTTTCCAATATTCGCACAAGTTCACTTTATTTGTGGCACTTATATGTGTAATTTAATTAGGGGTGGGTTTTGGGGGTGTGAGCGCCGGTTCTAACCTGTTGGGATTAGTTGCTTATAATTTTAGAAAATTTTTAGCGTTTTTAGTTTTCCAATATCTGAACAAGTTCTCTTGATTTGGATAATTCTTATTATTACCTATAAATGTGGTATTTACATAGGGGTTGTTTTGCACCCCGAATATTAAAATTTTTGTAATTTTTTGATTGATATTTGTTTTATTTACTATTCTGAATAAGATTATTGAAAAAAGTTCCTTATATTTAAAAAAAAAAATTTCGTTCAAATGAACGTTCGGAACTTTAGGGTCCTGAATTTATTTAAATTCAGGCCTTATAAATTCGATTAATAATCCTTTTTTTGTATTTGTTTAAATTTCCAATTAAAAAAAAAAATTAAGGAAAAAGTTAAGTAAAAAGTTAAGGAAAAAATTCAGGGGAAAGTTGAGGAAAAAGTTAATGAAAAAATGGATGAATTTTTGAAATTATTTACAATTTAGTGATTCATTAAAAATGTATTAAAAGTTTTCATAGAATTAGTAGTAAAAGTTAATTGTACTTAGATAAATATTCCAGTCATTTTAAAAATAACTTATCATTTTATGAAAGTTAATAATTAGTATCGAAGTATCAATGGCACCTAAAAGTCATTTTCAGACCGATTGCAAAATTTTTGTTAATTTCTTTACCAGTAGAAAATGAAATTTTGCATACAGTCAAGAAATTTCTAAAAATGTATTTACTTATATTCGAAAAATAAGTTTTATAAAAATACAGAGAAAATTTTTAAAATGTCAATGATATTTGACCAAATGATTTCTTTAACCTTCTACTAAATAATTTATACTTTTTAAAAACTATAAATTTATTTATTACCTTTCGTTTATATTTAAGTTCTTGTTGCTTAAGTTTCACTTTATAAATTATTTCTATTTTTTAACGAAGTTACAATGTAAAGTGGAAAGGTTTCTTTTTATATTATTTTAAAATACAAAAGAAAGGAAAGGAATAAAATAAATGAAGGAAGTAAGTAAGAGGAACGTAAAGTAAATGAAGGAAACTGCAAAATAAGAGTAAATGTAGAAGAAGAAAAAACTCGTGTGTGTGAAGTATAATAGTGAGAGAGGAAAAAAAATATATATAAAAATAAATAAAAATATAAATTTCTTATCGAAAAATGTATAAATTTCCTCCTAAGAACAATTCTAATAAAATAAAAAAATATATAATAAAATTTAAATATAAAAGAAATGAGATAATTTTTTATAATTTTGTTTTTAAGGCAAGGGAGTAAGTACTTTGTGAAAGTAGATTTTAATCATTATAGTGGAGATTATACAAGTTCTTTGTCCTTATTTTTAAGAGGTAAAAGTGGAATTCTTTTGTTAAAATTGTACACCAAAGTCTTTTTCCAGACAAGAGGAATGTGCGCGCATGTGAAGCGCACGTGTTTCAATTTCATTGTATTTGGTACTACAAGGAAAAGGTTCATATACTCCTGGAACATATCGTATACCATTAAAAACTAAAGTTTGTTCTGCAATATATACCAAAGACTAATCTAATGAACGAGCCGAATTCTATTTTCAAAGTAATAATTCATTTTTCTCCACTTGCCCTGTTAAACTTTAAAATACAATTATCTTGTTAACATTCTTTTTACTCAAAACGAAATTTTACGGGAAAAAAAGTATAATTCAATATTAATTTTTAATATGAAATTTTTAAATTTAAAACGACGCAAAATATATTACTTTTTAACTTTTAATTTATTTTATAACTTATAAATGCAAATTTTTTACCATCTTTCTAAAATTTATCGCTCGTTTGTATATATTTTAATAAATTTACAATTTTATTTTACAATAAACAATGTTCAAAAGAATTTTTTTTTGGTGGTCCAACCCTGACTTTTTTCCGAAAATATTTATTTATATTCATTTTTACATTAACATTCACCGAAATTAAAATTGTGAAAAAATCTAAATATGATGAATAAATAAAGTTAAGAGAAAATTTAAATTTCAAATTTTTTAATTAACATTTAAAAATTTTTTTATTTGAAATGAACAGTGAAATTCGAAAATTGGTAATTATAAATTTATTGTTAATTCCTGAAATATGAAAATGAGAGAGAGAAAATTGTAAACTTTTGGATAAAGATAAAAATTTTATAGAGAAAATAAGATATTTTGTTACATGCATCGGATTAAGCCCTTCTGAAAAGAGCGTGAATGATGTGGAAATAAATTTATTTATTTAATAAAAATAAGAATTTAAAAATAGATTTTTTTTAGCTCAAGGATTTAGAAAAGTGAATTAAAATGTAATATAATAATAATAAAAGTAGAAAATAATTCTTCTTTTTTAATGGAGTGAAATGTGAGGTATATAAAGATCGTTAAAAAGAGATTTTCCAGATGTCGAATATATGTGTAACCTCGCTTTTCAACATATGTCTAATCCAAGAGCAAGAGATTTCGTACACATAGTCAGAGAAAATCCAAAGTACAATCAAGATACCTACATATCCTCAAAACTGATGTTATCTGAGAAATATATTCAGGTGGGATTTAGTTGGTGCGAAATGGAGCTCGCAAGAGATGTTCTCTCATTTCGTCAATTTTCTCTCTCTCTCTCTCTCTCTCTCTCTCTCTCTCTCTCTCTCTTTCTATGTTACATACTACATTATATTTTATATCATATAAATTTACATTATTTTTCAGCATAGAAATTATTTTTTTATTCATAATAACATAAGCAAATGAATTCTTAAAAATACGAGGGACAATAAACTGTGCAAAGAACTGCGCAAAGAATCATTTAAAGAAAAATTTATTTTAATTGAAAAAATTTATTTTTTATAACATAAAGAATGTGATTCTAAAAGGAACGTAAAAAACTAATCTCAGAAGGAATTATTGTATAATTTACAAAAAAAAAATAAATTTTAAAATCAGAGTAAAAAAATTGTACTTTTCGAAATATCACCCACGTATGTATAGTGTGGTAAATACTGAGGATTTTCCGGATAAAAAAATTTTTTTCCATAAAAAAGGATTATATACACGTATGTATATACTATACGTATTCGTTGACATATATAGTCGAAGACAGGATGTGTCTAGTGAAGCGAGTTATTCCTCTTGTATATGTATATGATGCGAGACTATCCAAATTGAGACTCGATCGAATCGATAGCATCTTCCGTAGACCGTCTGCGGTTTCCGTCATTCTAATAAAATTTCGAAATCCCATTCCCTGAGTATAGATCGACAAGAAAGCACTTACCCTGGTGAATAAGACCACACGACCATATCACCTTTCACTTTATTCTTTCTCACTTCTTTCCTCTTTTTAACCGATTATCAATTTATTTCTTGCCTTTTCTCTTACTGTACTTTTACTTCCTTTATTTCTTTCAACTTTTTTTTTTCTTTTTTAGTATTCGTTCTTTTATTTAAAATTTCAAATCGGCTAAAAGTAATAAAATGGTGAATAATAAAAATGAAATCTTTCTTTATTTATTTCCTCTCCTTTCTTTTATATTCATTATTTATATTATTCTTTTAATTAAAAAGCAAAATATTGTTGAAAAATAATAAAAATAAAGTATTATTCATTTAGTTCATTTTATTTATTTTATTTTTTATAAAGTAGAAATTAATTAAATTTTAAAGAAGGAAAAAATTTTATTAGTATATTTTTGAAAATAAAGAAATTTTACCATCAGTATTTTTGTATTAGTAGTAAAAGGACTTTTTAGTGACTTTATGAAAAAACTGTATTTTAAGTCTTACTAGTGGATAAAGTAAATTTTAAACAAACGAAAGTACACTAATCTTGTTACATTTTGGTCTTAGTGTTGAAATTGAGTCAGGCAATAAATATAATTAGACATTTAAGAATTATTGACTAATTGAAACCGATTTTTACTACTTAAGTGAATTT